AGTGGATTAAACGAGCTGCCGGGGATGTAGCGGATGATAGCACTGATCAGCACTTGTCGAGCGCTGATGTCGACCCTTGTGCTCTTGAGATAGCCTTATCGTGTTTAGATCGGGGCGGTGAACAGTCTGATGATGAAGCTGAGGGCGATGGGTCCAATGATGAGGATTGCCCCGAAGTACAGGACTTGTTTCTAGTGCCACATTGCATATCCCGGTTGTCGCCTTTACACGGTGACAGCTCGGATTCCTTGGTGCAGTATGACCTCCTTGCATCTGAAACTCCGCTTGGCACTAACGAGCGAGTGTCTGAAGCACTTGATGTCAAGCATGCGCTGATGAAGGCGAGGCTTGCTGATGAAGGGTCGTCAGCTCTGGAGGCGTTAACCAGCGCGTGGAATGAAGGTGTCGCGCAAGGCCCTGACGACGCGGGACCTTTGCAGGCCTTTATTCGGGCGGCGCACGCTGTCAAGTCTGCCGAGGATGATTTAGAACATGCCAGGGCAAATGCGGAACCGGCAGCCGAGCAGCTACAGACAAAAATCGTTCCCAATAAGGAAGTCCTTGCAGATCTGCCGCGATGGAAGCCCGCAATCCAGTCTGAGTATGACAGTCTGGTGAAGGAGACGAAAGCCGTACGCCCCATAAGTCAGACATACCTAGATGATCTTAAACGGTCCGGTAAAAAGTACGAGCTTATACCATCAAAGCTGATATTTTCTTGCAAGGCTCCGAATGGTCGCCTTAAATGTAGATCGGTCTGCTGCGGTAACTACTTGAATGACAGTGCTGTAGCCAAAGCTGACAAGTACTCTGGAGGCATAGATGCAGTAACGCTGCGTTGCCTGCTGCGTTATGCCGCGCTTCGTCAGCAGGACGGAGCTGCCCTCGACATCAAAACAGCGTTTCTACGAGCGCCTTTAATCCAAACGGGCACTGAAATCATAGTAAAGGTCCCCGCTATATTTCGAATGGCTGGGTGCGGTTCCGAGTTCTTTTGGGCTGTAGATAAAGCTTTATACGGATTGATAATCAGTCCCAAGTCTTGGAGTACCTTCAGGGATAAATCTCTTGAGCAAGATCTTAATGTCGTCATCAACGGTGAGCGTGCGACCGTGAAACCGCTTCGGTCGGACTCTAATCTGTGGGAGATCCGCACACGTGCTGAGGGTCGAATCGCCATATTGGCGATTTATGTGGACGACCTCTTGTGCTTCGGACAAACCTCTGTAGTGACCACGGTTTTGGAGTCTGTGGCAGCGCTTTGGCAGGTGTCGTCTCCCAAGTTCTTGAGTCAGGGTCCCATAGACTTCAGCGGGTATGAGATTGAGTACACGTCTGATGGCCAAATGCTGGTGCACCAGAGAAGGTTTGTGAGCGAGCTGCTGAATCGTTACGCACATGTCGAAGGTCTGTCTGAGGTACCTGTTTCTAAGTCCCTAGACCCTAACTTAGACCCTGAAGACCCTAACGCATCCGAGTTTCGTGAAAAGCTGTCCCTAGCCCAGCAAGCCGTAGGGGCACTTCTTTGGTTAAGTACCCATAGCAGGCCTGAGATCTGCTATAGTGTCAGTGTTGCGGGTTCTTTGCTTCACTCCAATCCTTCCGAAGCACTCATGAGATGCCATATGATTATTCGTTATCTTCGTCGTTTCCCAGCATTGTGCTTGAAGTATGGACAGGCGCCCTGTAATAATGGACCCGATGACCAGTGGCCCGTGCTGCGAGAGCAGACTGTGCTTGAGTCCTTCGCAGATTCCAGTCTTGCTCCAACTTGTCAGCGAAGTCACCAGGCCACGCTTCACTACTACGGTGGAGCAGTGGTCGCCTGGACTTCGTCTAAACAGCCGTTCGTAGCATTATCGACGGCGGAGAGTGAATTAATAGCCCTAGTCGAATCAGCGCAGCAGTCTTCGTCCTTGCAGCCGCTTCTGGATGAACTGGAACAGACAGAAATCACCATAGTGTCTTATACGGACAATACAGCAGCAACTTCACTTGTTCAACTTGCGGGGGGCCCTTGGAGAACACGTCACCTTCGAATTCGGGGGTCCTGGTTACGGGAGCGTCTAGGTGACAAGTGGAAACTGTTTCATGTCCCAGGCAGTGTTCTGCCAGCTGACCTAGGAACTAAAACCTTGTCAGCAGCACGCTTTTGGACCCTGGTTTCTTACTTAGACCTAGGAGAGGTGCCCAGCAAAGTAGGTGTTGATAAGCCTGAGCCCCCAATAAGCCCTAAGCCAGACCTTAACAAAGTCCGAGCGCTGGTTGGAGCCTTGGTCCTGTTGCACGGTGTGAGCCCTGCGCGTGGAGAGACCCTCACTTGTGTGGCTGATGTGCAGCATGTGCAGGGGTCGCAGCTCTCCTTTCTAGGAGGGCTCCTCCTTGGGATCGTCATAGGGGTCATGTTAAGTCTGGTGATAGGCTATAGTTGGTTCCACGGGCTAATTAGGTTCCCCAACTTGCGTTCGCTCAGTGCCTTTTTGGCATATGATCGTTTGCAGTTAGTAGAAGACGAAGAGCTGCCAAGTCTGGAGCTGTTGCCAGAACAACAAAATTCTAACAATCAGGGTTACAGAGATGCAGCTGAGGTTGCAAATTGGTTTATGCCCTCGGGCTCGCAGCCTGGAGAGAACGTTCAAGTCAGCTTCACGCCTGCTCGGCCGTACATTGAAGATCCGGATCCAGACAGCGAGGTTCGTGAAAACAATGAAATTTTGGATGCTTTGAGGCCTCCAGCTGTGCCTTTGGATATCTCCTTCTACGATGAGGGTCATAGTGGCTCAGCTCGTCAGACAATCTGGTATTTGCTGCTGGATGAAGCTGAAAGTGATCTCTTTGATACAACTGGAGGTCTGTCCGAGCTTCGTGAGTGGCAGCACATCAACCTTGGCGAGTATGACGTAGCGATGTTGGCTTTCTTATATGCCAGGTACAGAATGCAGGGTGTATTTGGTGCCTGTGTGTCTCGTACTGGAGTGTCGTACCGAGTTGAGCGCACTACACTCATGTATGGACCTCCGGTGCTGACAATGTTCATCAGATCTGTTGCGGCTGACTTCACTGAAGAGGTCATCGTAGTGAAGTTCTGCGAACAGACTGCGCGACCGATGCCGTATCTTGTACTTTATCCGATGAGCGATCAGCTGCATGAAGTAGATTGAATCATTGTACACATTACTGCCCATCCGGGGCGATTTAACAAGCATAGCCCATTGAAAGGGGCGATTTAAAAAGACGCTTTTCTCTCCGTAAGTGTATAAAGTGAAACACTTCACACAGGGGGAGCGCGCATTGTGGATTGTGCAGATTGCTGCTGATGCAGCTACTGTGGCTCATAGAGCTACACGTTGAAGGAAGATTGGGCAAGGCATACCGTCTTTTCAAGAAAGGGTATGAACCCATAAGACCGAAATTCCTCAGACTTACCTGTCATTTCTTTGCGATCGTTCAAAAGGAGTGCGTCGTTCTGATCTCCAGCCATGGCCAACCCATCAGCTGATCCACGATTACTATTACTATTACTATTACTATTACTATTACTATTACTATTACTATTACTATTACTATTACTATTACTATTACTATTACTATTACTATTACTATTACTATTACTATTACTATTACTGATGAAGCCCAGCAGTGTGTGAGTGCGCAGCTACAAGTTGTATAGCGGCATATCGATTCCATGATGTTGTGCGGGGTCGAAGTGCAAGTTTTGTGATGTTTGGCTTAAGGGGAAGGCTGCGAAGATTTTACCCCTGGGCCACGTTTTAGCTGAACGCTTTCAGATAGCTCAGCTTTAACATCCGAGCAGAGACAAGGCTAGACCTAAGCTGACAGATGCTAAGCATGTCTGCAGCAGGACGATGCGTTTGTTGAGGCGAAGAAAAATTCGAAGATCCGGTTTGCGATGGATGCCTCTGCGCCTTCTGTTGCTGTGAGCCCGGATCGTCAGGTTATGAGCGCCCAAGCTCAGCCTGCGGCTCCGCAGATAAACGGCTCGGATGGAGCCAGTGGACTGGCGGCAATGCCAGTGGAGGAGGAAACCGGCGCATCTTGCTCGGGTCAGGGTTTGCCCCCTCGATCCGAACAGATGCAAGTTGACGAAAGTAGTGGAGGAGGCGGTAATGGCGGTGGAGACGCCCAAGCGGCGGCGGAGACTCTGCAGTCGGCTATGACCTCGACTACAAGACCAGTGGACGGTGAGCGCAGCGAGGACCCCGGACGAGGGCAGGTTTTGTTACAGGGATCGCAGCTTCGCACAGACATCGCTGGCCAAGCCAGTGCAAGTGGAAGAGGATCAGCTGATCAAGCCGAGCGTTCTATGGGAGAGGCTGCATTCAGGTCGTCTGAGGTGGAGAATACATCGGGGATTTTTGCAACACCAAGTTCGAGGAGAGCTACATCTGTTTGTAGGATGGAAGCTGAGAGACCTGCAGGCCAAACTGGCGTGCCGGGATGGGTGGCTAGACTTGGTGAGTTTTTCCGAGGACCCCAGGTGACATGGTTACCAAGCCCGCTACAATCGCCACCGCGGCCCAGGAGTATCTTTCATCAGGCTACTGCAGGATTTGAGGATCCGCCGCGAGCACCAGGGCCTGATCAACTGTCGTCTGCAGTGGGAGAAGCAGTTGGGGGTATGAGACCTAAGGGAGTAAGAGCTAACCCTACTATAACTACCCCAAGCAGCAGCGACATACCAGCAGAAGCAATACAAGCCGAAGTTCAACGACAACTTAGTGGTCTGCTGGATAGATTAAGCTACGTCGAAGGTGAGAATGCTCGGTTACAGACGCAGCTCCGGCAGGCCCAGTCACAACCGCGACAAGCTCGTGAAGGGTGTGAGCAGAGCAGTGAAGGAGCGGATCGGGTACCTGATCAGGGAGTACTTAAGGGGTGCGATCATGGAGTATCACGAGTACTGGATCAGGGATCCCTTCGTGGGCATGGGCAGCGCGTACCTAGAGAAGATCCCCCTGTAGCCCATCCACCTTCCTCAGATGCATGGCGAGATCCTTTGGGAGCCCTTTGCAATGAACTTGCAGCCCGGAGAGCCGGGAGCCAGGGGACTGATCCGCATGAAGGACGGGATCGAGCTTCAGTTCAGGATCCGGCCGCTGAAGCTACGGGGGTTGAGCCGGATGCTACTATGGCCATGTTGCAAGCGCTGACAAAGAGCATGACACAACTTCAGGATATGCAGGCGCGCTCCTTGCAGAAAGGGCTGGAGGAGGACTCACCGGAGGCTGTTAAGTCATCGGTCACAGTTCTTCCCCTGCTACAAGCTCCCGAGGGTCAATCCACCGGGATAGTCTTGCAGGACTGGATTGCACAAGTGACTGTCGCAATGCAGGATCTTTCTCCGTCTTCGGGGTCATGGTGGTCTAAGGTGATGGCTTTGGTGCAGACCACATATTCTGCATGGCTCGGGCGCACGCCTCTAGAGCGGTTACAGCTGCAACCTACGAACAGTGGCTCTTTGGCTGAAGGCAGATGGACCCGGGTGAACGCCCGAGCGTGTTCGATGCTACTCCAGAGCTTGAGTGAAGCGGTAAGGCAAGATCTCATTGCCAGACGTGTTGTCCAGAACGCCGTCCTCATTATGTTTCGACTTCACACGACCTATCAACCTGGAGGTGCCTCGGAAAAGACGCTGGTGCTACAGAATTTGCAGACCCCAGCCTCGTGTGAAACGCTGGAAGAAGTGCTAACATGGTTGCGGAGTTGGCCAAGATGGATCCAGAGATGTCAGGACTTGAACATGCTTTGTCCAGATGGAACGGTGTTGGCCAAGACGTTGACGTCAGCTACTTCCCGATTCATTGTTGAGGGCGGGGATGCGCAGTTCCGTACGCAGTTGCTTCGGTCGACTTTGCGAATAGACGGGCAACCCAGTCTAGATGACGTCAGGAGGTACCACCAACATCTACAAGCAGAGCTAGAATCTACAGCGACATCTAGGTCTACTGCCACGATGAGGACTCCTACGGTGAAAGCGTTTGGTGCAGGAACCTCATCGCCTACGGGAGCCGGCTCAGCTACCACAACGACTGCTACCAAGTCCCCGTGCAAATACTTTTACCGCCCTGCTGGCTGCCGACGAGGCCAAAAATGTCCTTATGTGCATGATTTGTCCACGATCCCGAAGCACGAAAAAGCCCGTAAATGCCTTGTTTGCGGAAGTGAAGAGCACAGACAGAAGGACTGCCCCACGAAGCAGAACAGGCCCAGAGGATCTACAGCTACCCAGCCTACAACATCCCCAACAGCTCCCTCTTCGTCCTCTACTACAACCTCTCCAAAGGTGAACAGGGTGGAGCCGGAAGGGGAATCTTCCCCAGGAGGAGCTGGATCGGCTGGGGTGATTCCAGGAGAGCCAGTGTGGACCTTGGAGTCGCTACTTCAAGCTGCTTCAAAGATTGCTGGAGCAGGAAACCAAGGCCCAGGACCGTCAATCAATGTTGTTACCCTGAAGCAACAGTGTGCCCTGAGCAGTTCTGATGGCGACGGGCAGGTGTTTGCTTTGGTTGATTCAGGTGCTACCCACGCGCTGAGAAGGGCGAAATCTGAGTCTGAGTGGCAGGATGCAAGCCCGGTGACGGTGAACCTAGCAGGGGGTCAGTCGATCTTCTTGAAGATGAATAAGGCCGGCACTATCCTGGTCCCAATCACGTCCTCTACTACCTTCACGTCTACGGCGCCCATAGTTCCCCTTGGTGCGTTAGTTGGACAGCTGGGATACACAATGACCTGGAGCAGTAACAAGTGTCGTCTGGAAGGGCGGAACGGTGAGAGCTTCAACCTTAGAGTTCGTGAAGGGTGCCCAGAGATCACTGAAAGAGATGCCCTAAAGCTGATCGCCCGCCTGGAGGACGACAATCTGGAAGTCCTCAAGAACCGCACCAAGGAAACCCGCCAGCGGGTTCGAGCAGCGGCTTTGGCAATGGAGCGGACGTGGTTCGATCATCTCTTGTCGTATGTGGACGGAGAGCTATCAAGTGAAGCACTCAAGGCGGTGGAAACAGCGCCTTTCCTTCAGGATGTTCCTCGACAGTGTGTGGCAGGTTTGGCGGAGGCAATCCCGGAATCCAATGGATGGGAGGCTTTAAAGGGGCTTGAGCACTTGAACCGCCGAACACGCAAAAGGTTATGGGCATCCAAGAAATGGCTGGTGCACCTTTTTTCGGGAGATCGAGATAGGCCCGAATTCCGCCACCTTGAAGGGCATGGTTATGCAGTGCTTGAGCTGGACATTTCAAGGGGAAGAACCCAGGATGTGTTGAGACCTTCAGTGTGGAGAGCTTTAGAGTTTGCTGCGCGGAAAGGGAAGATAGCTGGAATTATAGGAGGTCCTCCCCAAGGAAGCTTTATGATATCGCGACATGTGATTGGGGGACCCGAACCTTTGAGAAGCAATGACTACCCCTACGGCAACTGGAATGGACAGTCGGACGCAGATGTGTTTCAGGTGAACCATGCTCTATCTACATGCACTTGCAACCGCTGGGAGATTGAGAGCAAGTAGCGATCCGGAGTCTTCTAAAAAAGTAGCGTTCCTGGTTGAGCACCCTCGTGATCCTCGGGGCTACTTAAAGTTCGGTGATCCGCTGTACCCCGATGTGGTGAGCTTCTGGAGGACTCCGCTGTGGTCCGAGTACGCCCTCGAGGCTGGCCTTGAGTCGTACAACTTCGATATGGCAGCTCTGGGAAAATACTTTACGCGCCATACCACGCTGGGTACTAATCTACCTCTTCGGCATTTGGATGGCTTGAGAATGAGATACCGTACTGATGGCCCGGTTTCTACAAAGGCTCCTCCTGCAGTATGGCCTCCAAAGTTTGTGGAACATGTTGTGATCGCCTTGAGAAATTGGGGCAAGGTACCTCGTATGTTGCGAATGAGTGCTGAGCAATGGAGGGACCATGTTCGTCGAGGGCACCTCCCGTACAGGGCTGATTGCACTGTGTGTGTTCAGGCCGGGGGAACCGGCAGACGCCACTCGAGGGTGGAGCATCCGTCCGCCTTTGTGCTCTCAGCTGACCTTTCTGGTCCTGTCAAGGTGGGCGGAGTAGATCCAGATGCGCGAGGAGCGTTTTCCAAGGCTTTCAAGTACATCTTTGTCGCCAAGCTTCGCGTGCCAAGGACGGCAGGGGCGCATGGGTCGACTACGATGAAGGTGAGATCAAGGCGGAGGAGTACGACGACAAGGACGATGGGTTAGCATCGGAGGGAAAGGGGCCGTCTGGAGAAGAAGTTAGAGATGTAGTTGGACAAGTCGATGAAGAAGATGATGATCCAGACCAACCCCTAAGAGCAAAGGTTGGTCCAGATGATGATTTGGATCTTGCTGCCCCGGAGCTTGTGAACTTGATTTTCTCAACGGGGATCCGTGATGATAAGGCAGTGACGGTGTTGGAGGCGGTGCAAGACGTTGTGCTTTACTGCCAATCCCTCAACATCCCGATTCTTCGCTTCCACACGGATCGGGGTATGGAGTTTCAGGCAAGAGGCACGAAGCAATGGCTGAAAAGCCAGGGCATCCGTGTTACGACTTCGGAAGCGGGCGTGCATCAAACCAACGGGGCGGCAGAGTCCACAGTTCGGTGGATAAAGCAAAGGGCAAGAACACTACTCCTATCTGCCGGACTACCACAACACCTATGGCCTACAGCAGTGGCTACGGCCGCCACCATCCAAAGGTCGGACGTTCTGGGCTTTGAGCCAATGCTTGCGGCGCCGTACGGCTCCAAAGTGATGGTGCGCAAAAGACAGCTAGAGGGCCCTAAGTTGGACGATTTGGCGCCAAAATGGGTGCAAGGTGTCTATGTGGGTCGCTCAGAAAGCCTCAGTAAAGGCCATTTGGTTTTCATTTCGAATGATGAGGGTGAGAAGTTTGTCCATACTCTACATGTGCGAGCCGGCCTTCGGGATCCAGGCCCCGTTGAGGAAGGGTTCCATGTTGAAGAGCCAGGACCACCAGAACGTAGAGTACGAGGCAAGTCAGCTGGATCTGGAGATGTGGTTGGGGTTTCGAAGGTGACGATCTTTGAGGATGAAGGGCTCCAAAAGTGGGCTGAGGCGATCCTTGAGGAGTGGTCGCAGGAGGAGGCCGAGGCCATTGTCATCCAGGCCGGCAAGAATTTAGCTGCCACGGAGAACAACTACGGCATGTTTAGGTTTGGTGGCCGAGTAGGTGTTACAAAGGCAACGATTGAGAGACCGTGGTTGGCAAAAATAGCCCTTCGTTTGCTGAGGGAAAAGGCACCCGACGCCGAGTTTGCCGCCATCTTCATTTCGGTCAACAACGAAAGGGAGGTTCATGTTGATCGGAACAATGCCATGGGCACCTTGAACTATATCCTTCCGGTTGTTATGCCTAGGCGGGGTGGTGAGATTTGGCAAGAACTTCGCGATGGAGATGTGGTGTCTGGTAGAATACTTGAGCTCCAATCCCAAGATGGTCGAGTCAGATATGGTTGCGCATACCCCTTACAAGAAGGTCGAGTGTTTCATCTAAATCCTCACAGGCGTTACGCTGTTCTTCCATGGAAGGGAGAGCGCTTGGTGGTGGTTGGTTACACACCTGGGGTTTTGCAAAATCTCAACAGCCAAGATAGAGAGCTGCTATGGGACCTAGGGTTTCCTTTGCAACTGGTTGAGGAGGAGCCTAAGTCGGAGATCTATATCAACATGATCAAGGTCCTTAGCGCTTTTGAGAATAAGGCTGAGATCTTGGACTTGTCCCAGGAGGAGATAGCAGAATTTGCTGAGGAAGCAGCTACTCAAGTTCTACCCGAGCGTGATCCTGAAGTTCCTTCTCCGTGTGATCAAGGACAGCAGAGCTGCAGTAGTTCCCCGGAAGTTCAATGTGAAGAATGGTGTTATGGAGATTTGTGTTTGGTGTTGGAAGGCGGGTGTGATGATGTGGCTCATGTTGTACCTTTGGCAAGTGAAGATGTGTTCATTGCAAAGGCGGAGGTCGGGTTCACTGAGAATGTAGAGTTGCTCCTTGAGTCCCTCGAGAGCCCGCTCAGCATTGTTCATACAGTCGATCCTCGGGAGGTAGCTCGCTTCTTTGAGCGTTGGATTCCGTCCATGGGCAAAGAGGTTCAGACTTTGGAGCATGCTGTGGAGCGAGTTGATGGGGCAGATCCTGAAGTTCGAGCGGATATTGAGTCTGGACGTGGACAGGTGCTGCCAATGAAAGTAGTCTACACAGTGAAGCCACCGGACCCTCCTGCTGATGGAGAGGCCCCCAGTGTTTGGTACAAAAGGAAGTCAAGGATCGTGGTGTGTGGCAATTTCGCCTCACACCAACCCGGCGAGGTGTATACCAATACAGCGCCAGCTGAAATCGTTCGAGCTGCAATAGCCTTGGCTCGCTTCTTCAACTGGGATCTGGGAATGATAGATGTGGTTGCGGCCTTTTTG